CAAATAGCAGGCGTTTTGATAGATATCATTAGCCATTTTGCTGACTTCGGGCTTCATAGAGGGAAGGTTAATCAAAGTAGCAGAAAGTCGAGGGGTGGGGAACAGAAGTGCGATTCACAAATATAAAAGAGGCAGACAGACACATAGGTTGAGAAAAAGGTAAGATGAGTACTGTGAAGGGGTCGAAGATGACACCCAGGGGGGTCGTGGTAAACAGTGGAAGTGGTCGAATATGCCATACAGTGAGGTCACGGTAGCTTGAAGTCAGAAGTCAACTGCCGATTAATAGACTTTTTTGCCACATGCAGTCAGAAGTCAACTGCCGGTTTATAGACTTTTTTGCCGTTTGAGTAGTCAGAAGTCAACTGCCGGTTAATAGACTTTTTTGTGAAGTGAGAAGTCAACTGCCAGTTAATAGACCTTTTTGCGTTGAAGTCAGAAGTCAACTGCCGGTTAATAGAATTTTTTTGCCGATAGTTTGAAGTCAACTGCCGGTTTATAGACTTCGAATATGACATAGAGAAGTCAACTGCCAGTTAATAGATCATGGTAATTGAAGTCAGAAGTCAACTGCCGATTAATAGACTTGGGGTCATGATAGTTTGAACTCAGAAGTCAACTGCCAGTTAATAGACTTACTCATGGTAGTTTGAAGTCAACTGCCAGGTAATAGACTTTAGTTTGAAGTGAGAAGTCAACTGCCGATTGATAGACTTTTATTTGAAGTCAGAAGTCAACTGCCAGTTAATAGACCTTTTCAGTCAGAAGTCAACTGCCGGTTTATAGACTTTTTTGCCGTTTGAGTAGTCAGAAGTCAACTGCCGGTTAATAGACTTTTTTGTGAAGTGAGAAGTCAACTGCCAGTTAATAGACCTTTTTGCGTTGAAGTCAGAAGTCAACTGCCGGTTAATAGAATTTTTTTGCCGATAGTGAGAAGTCAACTGCCGGTTTATAGACTTTTTTGCCGCTTTGAAGTCAGAAGTCAACTGCCGAATAATAGACTTTTTTAAGAAGTCAACTGCCAGTTAATAGACTTTTTTTGCCGTATGGCCGTATGATTATACGTTGCCCAGGGTGCACCACGTGGAGGTAAGTCTATTGAAAAACGAATGCCGAGTGATAGAATTTTTGCCGTAAGAAAGTACGTTGCCCAGGGTGCACCACGTGGAGGTAAGTCTATCGTAGTTAACTGCCAGTTAATAGACTTTTTGCCGTATGAATATAACGAAAGCCGAGTGATAGACTTTTTTGCCGTAAGAAAATACGCTGCCCAGGGTGCACCACGTGGAGGTAAGTCTATCGCACACAAACTTCCGGTTAATAGACTTTTTACCGTATGAGTATACGTTTCCCAGGGTGCACCACGTGGAGGTAAGTCTATCGCACACCCACCAGGGTGCACCACGTGGAGGTAAGTCTATCGCACACCCCTTGTCAGGGTGCACCACGTGGAGGTAAGTCTATCGCACACCCCAAATCCGAGAATTTAATATTTCTGATATTTCAGGAACACTTTCATTGATATGCATAATATTCTGGCCTACTGAACAAACTATAAGTGATGAATATTCACTCTCATATTTGTCTTAAATATTATTTAGTATCATACAATGAATTGTCGGTTTTGCCTTCCTAAATATGATTGAGACCATTTTTTCGCTTTATTACACTGTTATAACACTCAGATAGGCTAATAAATTTCAGAATTTAGTGTTATGGAATAAAAATTTTAATGGCATGGCAGAAACAATATGATAAATGTTTTATATTTCTCTTTTTATGCTAGATATGTGTGAAGTGCCGTTAAAGATGGACACAAGTTTGGAATTGAAGGAGTATGAGACTCGAATTGAGGAGTTACGAGCTTCAGAGAAACTCCTGGCAGAACTTAACGAAACACTTGGCATGAAACTTCAAAAAACAGAGGCATTAAGAGCGCAAAGGTTAGTTCATTTCGAAGGTTTGTCGAAATCGTACGTCTCTTGCAGCGATCACTAATCATGTATGTTTGGTGCCCCAAGTGACCGCTTTGAGTTGCTCTGACCAGGAGTTATGTGAGGAAAAATGATTGATTATGAAGAATAAGAATCGCTGATGATTCTAGGTCATAACGGAACTATTTCCAAATTCAATTTAGAAATGGTTTGGAACTCACGAATTAATAATGACGAATTCACCGTCAAGCCAATTAGTATTGACTGTCAGAATCATGAGCACTATCCAATTACTTACTCCTAACTAAACTTGACAACGTTTTTTGACCGACCTAAAAATATATTCAAACTCCATTACATACTTCTAGGACATGAGCCAGAATTTTGATGATTGAGATATAATAAACTCTCTCATTTCCGAACTTTTCGTCCATAAATTGTCCACCTTATCGTTGGGAATTCTGTCACTTTCAGAATAGGTGATATTTTTTCATGCGTCAGGGAGATGAAGTCAACCAATAAAAATAATTTCACTCGGAATTCTAATATCATAAAGCCCACCCATAATGCAACAACTTTGTATCTACTAGAAAACTACTAGAATAATGTAATATTGTCATTAAAATATAATTTTAATAATATTTTGGCTTTTATTATTCATAATTTTACTTCATAGGGAGCAAGAATTGCGAGCAATGGGAATCGCCCTTCATGCAAATGGCGTATTAACGGGTGTCTTCGCGCCAAAAGTAACTTTTTAGTAAATCAAAAGTAAAGTGGATAGAAATTAAATTGCTGCTTAACAATTCGTCGGTTTTTTTCACGTAGACTCCAAATTTGGTCAACTTGAACGAAGATCCAACAATGTCTGAATGTTTGATATACTACTTAAAGGAAGGCGAATCTCTGTAAGTTACATACTAATAATGCTTCAATAAGCAATTTGCTCGCAAATAATTATTTAAGTTAATTAAATTTATTTTCAGTTTGGGAAATATGAATGAAGGAGACGACCTTGACATTGGTCTTCTAGGCAATCTTATAAAGCCTCAGCATTGTATTTTCACCGTGAAAGACAGTAAGTTCTGTAGTTCTGCGAAATTACCCAATCAAAATCGGTCTCGTCTTCATTGATTAAGCAGATCTATTCATAAATATGTAAAAGCCATGTAAGTAGTTGAAATATTGCGACACTTCCCAGTACGAGACTATTATTTTTATTATTATTAACTTTTTAACGTTGTAGTCGTGGGAATGTCAATGGACTGAATGACAGTAATTTAGCCTAGTAGAAGCTGAATTCGGGAAGGGCTAGAAGAGAAGTGGGTACTATCTTAAAAACAGGCACAAACTATTGAAAATCCTATGAGGTTTCATGCTTTGTTTCTTTGATTATACGCATAGTTCCTGAGTGAGTTAATCAAGCAATCTGTTGGTTAAATGCTTCTGTATCTTCTTGCGACGAGATTGACAGAATTTTGAAACTAATTATCATTGGTATTGTTGTGAAATTATAAAGATGGCTCAAACATATATATATATATATATATATATATATATANATATATATATATATATATATATATATATATATCTAAGAATTTTCTTTGTAGTAGCTGCTCATTTATAAAATTTATTTATTTTAAATGGCAGGCGTTTTGATAGCTATCATTAGTCCTTTAGTTGACTTCGGGCTTCACAGAGGGAAGGGTCATCAAAGTAGCAGAAAGTCGAGGAAGGGGAGCAGAAGAGCGATTCACAGATGTAAAAGAGGCAGACAGACACAAAGGCAAAGAAAAAGGTAAGATGAGTGCTGTGAAAGTGGTCGAATATGGCACACACTGGGGCCATGGTATTTTGAAGTCAGAAGTCAACTGCCGGTTTATAGACTTTTTTGCCGTATAAATGTACGTTGCCCAGGGTGCACCGCGTGGAGGTAAGTCTATCGCACACCCCAGCTGCTCATTTATAAAATTGTGAAAAAACCTTATGTGAAAATATCAGTCGGTATCTATGCAACCATTCTGCCTACGCATATGCTGCAAATCAGTCACCTGTATCCTGTTAGTTTCAATTTCTATATTTAGCAATAGAAATAAAACTTTTGAAGTAAAATTTTGCGCTTTCGCTATTCAGGAAAAAAGATGAGGACACTAAAATGCACTTGAGTTGAGCGGTGATTACACAATCACCATGACATTCAAGATTTAAACACCTTGAGTAGCTAAATTTTACTCCGTTTTAATTTAGATTTTAATAAAATTATTAATCGATACTGGCGTACATAATACAGAGAAAAAAAAACAATGTATGATATTCTATAAATATTGCATTTTTACTAATTTAAATGACAAGTCTGGACCCACGTTGATTCTGTTGTCTTCAGTGTGTTCATTTACCCAAAGTTAGGTAATAATGAATTCAAATTTATTTATTTATTTCAAATGACAGGCGTTATGATAGCTATCATTAGCCATTTAGCTGACTTCGGGCTTCACAGAAGGAAGCTTCATCAAAGTAGCAGAAAGTCGAGGGGTGGGGATCAGAAGAGCGATTCACGAATATGACAAGCAGCCAGACCATGGTAGTTTGAAGTGAGAAGTCAACTGCCGGTTTATAGACGTAGTTTGAAGTCAGAAGTCAACTGCCGGTTGATAGACTTGTGGTCATGGTAGTTTGAAGTCAGAAGTCAACTGCCGGTTTTGGGGTGATGGCAATTTGAAGTCAGAAGTCAACTGCCGGTTTATAGACTTTTTTGCCGTATGGGTATACGTTGCCCAGGGTGCACCACGTGGAGGTAAGTCTATCGCACACCCCATGAATTCAAATTATGGGACGCTATTTCTAAATACTTGAATCTTTCTGAATGTGAGAATGTATTTTCCTTTGCGTTGACTGTGAAATTTTTGCACAAAATAATCTGACAGCCTTTTTTCCTCTATTCCCATCCCACTCCCCCTCACCGCAGATCTTGTCACTATTGAGCCGATCGACAATGCTGAATGCTATATTAACGGAAGCCTGATAAATGGGACCACGGAGCTCCATTCGGGAGATCGAGTCATACTGGGCCAAAACCACGTATTTCGGTTCAACAATCCTCTTACACGTTAGTGATAATTTTTTTCCTCCCGATTTTAATGTTAAAATAATTAGCTTTTTAATCACTATTAGCAACTGTACAATCTAGTAGAGTTGTCAGTATTCTTCAAAACACTTTGAACCAAGTAAGAGGCCACATTTTTTAAGCTTAAGCCCCAATTAATGCAAAAATTGTGATTTTAAATTCCAGCAATAAAGTTGTGAATGTATCAAAGCTTTGGAATGCTTATAACATTGACAAATTTCGTCATTGAAAATGAATTAATATATACTTGCTATATTTCGGCTAAAACTACTAACCAATTGGATGTGTAATTGGGGCAAATAGCATAGTTTATAAACTTTCACTAACTTTATCAGTAAATTAATAAACACTTTTATAGATAGATCGATCACATTGGGCTTTCAAACTCTTCTAAATAATATACCCGTCTATTTTTTTAAAGAAGGAATACATTATAAATTTCAGAAACTCGGATGCCTGGATTCAGCTATATGGATATAATATCGTTATTAGTGAAAAGAAAATAGGTATAATAATCACATCAGTAAGTGGTTCAACAATTTTATTCAGGCTAATTTACTTATGGCAAATGGCGGGTTATATGATAGTTACATTAGGCCTTTAGTAGACTTCGGGCTTCGCAGAGGAGAGGAATAGACAAAAACACAAAAGGGAAGATGGTGAACAGAAAAGTGATTCTCAGATATAACAGAGACAAACACAAAGGTAGAGTAAATGGTGAGGTGAGTACTGTGAAAGTGTTCAAATATGCCATACAGTGGGGTCATGATAGTTTGAAGTCAGAAGTCAACTGACGATTTATAGACTTTTTGCCGTATGAGTGCCCAGGGTGCACCACGTGGAGGTAAGTCTATCATAAACCCCAGATGCATATTATAATAATTCGGCAATTATGAATTCGGATATTTCACTTTATGGGAGCTAAAACCAAAACTCCTGACTTTGAACAGGCGAACTAAGGCATCAGAATATTGAGTTAAGAACAAGGCCGAATTTATTGAACTCAGTAATTAAGAATCAAGTTAAAATAGAGAAACCTCGAGAGTATGGGAATACTGGAAAAAATGAAATTATGAAATTTTACTTAGAAATCAAGCTTCCCCATCCTAGTCATGCAAAAAACGTGCAATTGAAGAGCGAAGGCAAATGAAACCGCTTTAACACGAAAGAGATGATTGGCTGAAAACTGTTCAAGCTAATTCGAAATTGTAGAATGGTCTGGTTATCAAAACAAGTTTAATTAATGGTATCTAAACATTTTGGGTACTTTTTGAGAAATTATCCAACTGCAAAATATCTTCGTATACACATCCGAATTTTCAAAAGTATTTTTTTTTAAAATTTATCCATTCATTTTATACCATGTTTTTATTTTTTTTAAGGTCGAGAAAGAAAAGCAAATGGAACTGATGACATGACAAGTAGGAACTTTGATTAATTTTCATCTGCATTAATTCTGTCTTATTTTTTTATTTATTATTTTGTTTAAATTGACTTTCAATGAGTTTTTGCAATTTATTAACGATCTTTTCTAGTCTTTCTGCTTTAGTTTTCTTTCTCTGCCTGCATGACGCTTTTTGTGAGAAGTTGGAACATTCTAATCATATAAAAGGAGAAAAAACAAATTATTATTTTACATAAATGACATTTTTATTATCCAAATGCCCTCTCGATAAGAATGTAAGGATTCGATTCTAGTCAGAATCTTCTGCCCAAATAAGACCTTATCTAAGTTCACTAGTAGAAAGGAGAATAGGAAAGTGAATACAGGTCAGGATACTTTAGAATTTTTACTCACATCTGAGTTTGTCAGTGTAATTTACCCCATTGAAGCACCAATTATTTCTTGAAAAATGCACCCAATCGCACTCACGCGCGTCTAACAGCAGACTTTTGCTACCGACGTCAAGAGTTTTGGTGGTATCAGGCAAAGGCCAAAGACGTATTGAACATGTTTCCAACGACAATAGCACCTCCTGTTACTAGTCTAGTACCAATGGAGCTCATTTTGAAAGAGCGCGTTAAAGTTTTAAAAATGGCATGTGCTCTAGTGCTTTTAAACTTAAATGAATATTGAGGAACACCTCCAAGAGATGGATTTAAGGCGTTTTGAAATTATTTCTGCTAAGCAGTTCGAGAAGGTATGCCTCAGAAGACCTAGGATAGAAATAAGTCCATAACAGAGTTTGCAATTATACTTCATTCTGTCGCCATTGTTTAAGTCTACTCACGTAGATAGATGTGTTATTGGCTGTAAATAGAAATCAATAAATTCAAGCTTTAACTCGCCCCCCACCAACCTCTTTCCACTCTGCTTATGTACAATTTATCATGAAATATTTGGCGATAATCCATCATGAATGTCTTGGTCCGCGTAATTTTATAATAAGCATCAGAGCAGTTGAATTCATTTCCGAGAAAAAGGACTAAACTTTCAGCCCCCCCCCCCCCCCCCCGATTTCATCCTACCAATCAATATTCTTTAACTCTACAAACCATTATATCTACAACCCTAAGACTTCTTCCCCGTGGCCCTTTGCCAAGCAATTAGCTAATAATTCAATTTCGTCAATCTCATTACATGAGTTGCAAGAATGTATTGAAGTGTCAAACTTATTTTTGACATTAATGCTATGAGTTGTGATGACTTATTATCATTACATGATCTATTCCAAAAATTTTCGTGTTGCTTTCTCCAGCGAGTATGACAGAAAGCATGGACTGGACGTATGCAATATGCGAACTACTCGACAAGCAGGGAGTTGATCTTCGCAAGGAAATGGACGAAAGGCTTCTTGAAATGGAAGAGCAATATCGTCGGGAGAGGGAGGAAATTGATCGACGCTTTGATGAACAAAGGCGGGTAGGGAAAACTTTACGAGCTAGCTTTGGATACTTAATTATTGCGTGGAAATAATATTGCTTTATTGCAGGAGTACGAGGGGCAAATCCAGGTATTGCAAGAAAAAGTGGAACAATCAATGCTTAGCTCGATGGTTCAAGAGGAGTCAACCTCTGAAGATGAAAGTAAATTCCGTTAATGTTTTTTTTGCATTAATATGACGACAAATATTAAGTTAATCCTAAGTAATTAATGCTATCAATGGAGAAAATTCTGAAGATAAATTGAATTAGTAAGAATACACCAGTCTGTAGGTCCCCAACGATTTGTCTCTTTGAGGAATCAAAGTCATTTCCTATAAACTATGGACTGTTTGGCACCCTTCCAACTCTTGACTTCCAAATTGGCTTACCTTTTATTGACCTTGACAACGTCAGCTGCCAATTTAATAAGAAACTCACTGACTAGCAACCAAAAGGCGGAAGCTAAAGAAGGCACTCTTTTATAGCTGCGAGTACAATTTGACTAACTTATTCAGACCGTGTTTGGACGTTCGTCGAAAGTTACTTCGTTACACTAAGTGTCCTGTTATTGATCAGCACGTTTCTCCATCCTTTGCTTGGCGTTTATCACTGACGCAATTACTTTGTGTTGCCAAATGGGGTCATCACTTCGCCCTCCATCACGGCAATGTTTTGTTGCGCTGAGCCAATGGAAAGCCTGTGTTTTCTCCCAGGAAATTAGGAAGATGAGTTAATATATATATATATATATATATATATATATATATATGTGCCAATATGTTTCTCTCCGGCCATTTTTTGCTTTACTACTGTTAAACTAAAGGCACTAGATAAAGGCAATAATCGAAATTCTCGCCTCCTTCAAGGCATGAACAATTAATTTGGAGCTGGGCTTGCAACAAGGTGAGTACTCGGATGTGGTAAAGTGGGGGAGAGAGAGAGTAGAATTGATCAGAGACTAAAGGACCCACTGGATACTGAAAGCAGTGGATTCTCAATCAAAATTTATCACACTGTTTCTGCTGTTCCTATCAAAGTGAACATTTCCTTTATTTTCAGCGGACACAGTATGGAGTGCTCGAGATTTTCAACTGGCTCGATGGGCATTTCAACGCTGGAAACACTGTCGATTCACAACCCGAAGAGTGAGTTCTTGTCTCAATCCATAAGTTGCTACGCTCAAGCTAACATTGAGTTCACGATATGCAACTTCAGAGTTCAAGCCCCTCAAATTTTTTATTCAAACCAAAGCTTTATTTTGAATTAGTACTAAAACAGTAATGTTAGCCGAAAACTTCAAAAAACTTCATTTACCGTGGACTTTTATACGATTTTAGCCGCAAAAACTTAAATTGCTTCCTTGAGTTTGATGATGAGAAGGACTATTCTGCCTTTATATTTTAGGATATCTTATGGAACAATGCTGTGCTGTTGAAAGAAGCCAACGTTATGAGCGTCGAACTGGATAAAAAGGTATGTAACACAATCTTGAAATTTCGATATTACTTTCCTATTTTTCATTAGGCAAGAGGTTGTACAACGGTTTTCAACTGACAGAAATTTCAACAAACTTTTGATTGGTTATTTAAATGACCAACCACCTTAAACTTACGCCAGTTACTTTCCTAGGGAAATCACCGTTTTGTTCCACTTATGAAACCAAAACTGACCTGGATTACGGATATGTTAAAAGCTACTGTGGTTGACCTGCTCTTATACATCGTCCTCTTGATATTTATTTCAGATGGCAGGCGTTTAGACAGTTATAATTAGCCAAATAGCTGGCTTCGGGCTTCACAGAGAGGAGGTCGACGGGGGGAACAGAACAATGATTCACAGATGTAAAAGAGACAGACAGACACAAAGGCAGAGAAAAGATAAGATGAATACTGTGGAAGGAGTCGAATATGATATACAGTGTGGTCATGGTAGTTTGGAGTCAGAAATTAACAGCCGGTTAATAAACTTTTTTGCCGTATGAGTATATACTGGCCAGGGTGTACCACGTGGAGGTAAGTCTATCCCACACCCCCGTCCTCTTGATTTTGATTGCTAGTTGTTTATTAACAAATCATGATAAACCCTTGAACAGTATTCATATAGAAACACGAGTCTTTTGGTTTTTTACAAACCCATTTAAATGAATAAACCTGGAGATGCTTATTTCTAATGGAAATTAATTATCTTTCTTCCAATATGACGAAATCTTGGAAGGATGGATGTGCATCAAGATATGTAAAGTAAGCCTTTATAGGATTTTCCTTGATTTTCCAACTACACTTTTGTTAACTTAACCTATATAAACACATAAGACACTTAGTAATTTTGTCGAATACTATGAAGAAAAGTAATCTTTGCGATTGGAGTCTGAAGGTAAACCCTCCGGACCGATAACGATTAAGTCCAAACGAGCAGTCTAGACAAGTGTGAGGATTCGAGATGCGTAGTCACTCATATCGTCGTCTTACCAATATGATTAACGTCAACGTTAGCAACTTTCCTTTCGCTCGATATATACTGATATATAGATTGGTCAACTGAGTTATTTCCAATCGAAATTGACTCGATATCTCTAAGAGTCTCTGACCTATACTAAAATTTTAATTCGTATGTGGTTCACAGATTCTTTTATTTATTTAGTGCTACTCTCTTTAATTAACGTTCCGTTCTATATAAAAACTCCTAATCTTTCTGGCACATATTTTTAGATGCAATACCAGTTTGTCATGCTGAGTGATACGCCCTATACACCTTTGAAGGATGAATTGAACGAAATGCAGCGTCTCATGGGCCATGATGACAACCCCCATGATGAAATCTGGCGAAATCAAAGTGGACCGGTAGATCCACTAAATTCAAGGGGAGTTATCGCTGTTGAAGCTTTCAATGCATCTACTGGTCACAGTTTCAAATGGAGTCTGCAAACTTTCCAGTAAGTCTTAGCGAAAATGAAGTCCACATCTTCTGTTACATCAAGCATTCAGCATAGACTTGTCTGCTTTATGATTCTATACTACACTCGCGTTTTATACTTAGTTTGTCAAGCCTGATTTCAATTACCAATAGTTCGTAAAAGAACTCCTAAACAGCAAGAAATGTGATGAGGCTAATTAAAGTACACACTCCTTTGAGATTTTGTCCTTTCCAATTTTATCCAGATTAGACTGATTGAGTTTTTCCAAATAGCGGTAAAATTTAAAGTAAACTTACATCTTTGAAAGTAATCAAAGTTTCGAAAATATATAAATTTAGTATCATTATATTATATGAGATTATGATCCTTGGGCAACATTCAAGTACAAAATGATTTCTCATAGAAATCGGAATGCATTATTACCTTACTTTACTTATTAAACGGAACAAGGCTTAATTGCTGGGCTGTTCGATATCGATATCGATTTATTGATAATTTAAATGATAGTATAGTGTACATTTTAAGGCAAAGCATAATTAGTCCATTCTACTTTAAACAAATTTAGTCAGCGACTAATCGATATGCAGAAATATTTCCACGCTGAAGGCGACCTCTCCACTTGCAATCCCAATGGAAATCTTGCAACGAGTAATGCCTCGCATTCTACGGAAAATTTGAAATCAACAACAAAACTTTCTGAAAATGAGAACAATGAGATGGAAACAGTTGAATCAGACGGACAGGAAGAAAGTGCTGAAACGGAGGACGAGGAGGAATACGCAGCTACCATTGATCCATTCTATGACAAAATCCCTTGGTTCCAGCCAATTGGAAGGTGACCATTTCTTGCAAAATTTCTTCCACCTTAACGCCAATAATGTACACAGCATTAGAATTTAACTCACAAAAACCATTTTGCCAACCACTTTCTAACGGTTATTATGGGTAGGGAAGTAGTATCGGGAGAACTCGTTTGCGATTAGCTCAAATTCCAAAATCAATTTATTAGATTGGCTTTACTAGTGGGTGAAAATCGATTAGCATTGAACCAGCGACCTAATGTGTCCCCAGCGTTAATTGTTGTACGACAAGAGGGGGCTTTCAGAGGGTAGCTACTTTGGAGAAGTAATCCTGCTCAATTTAGATTTAACTACATAACATAATTACCATAAACCGGAATTAGGTGGGAATGGTGTTCGTAAAGGGGGTACCAATTTAGACAACCAGAATCGTCCTCGATGATGTATCACTGAGGTATAGGCCGCCACAATTGCCTCATCTCCAACTCTACCCCATGAAACAGAACTTAACGACTCTTTGATAAAAATGGTTGAAATACAGCACTCGTGACAAGTGACGTAAACAGCAATGGTTGTCACGCATTATTTTTTGTTTGTTTTGTCTTAAGTACATGGAATCAATTTTCACTGACCAGTTAGCCAATGAAAGAAGGGGGGGGGTTGGAGGGAAAAGTCATTTTGCATTTTCAAGTCTGCCAAGTCTGGGGTCATGTGATCAATTTACCTGTGTGCACACTGAGGAAACAGCCAATTGTACTGGTTATCTCCAAACCATTAATTACAATCAACTTTTACCCAAATCAATTGCTGTTAATGCTTGCCTTAATTGTCTTGGGAATTTCTTCAACTAGACATAGATGAGATAGTACAGAAATTTGGCAGAAATGGGGCGAGGGGATATAAATTCAATTGGCGCTGTTACCTACGATCTTAGAGGTAAGTGACACAAGGCTGTTTCTCTCTGATAACGATGTAAAACGGGGAAAAATTGAAGTATAACGAGTGACAAAAAAGCTAACATACATTGAAAACTTATTTGCACTTTTTCTTTACAAGCAAAGATGTTCAGTCCATCAATTAAGTTCAAACGTTAAGCGCCTTCTTCCCAGTTTCCATTAGTCTACTTCATATGCAAAGATGAGGGAGAGAGATTGACCAGGCGTTGCTTTGCTATTCGATAGTAACGTTCAATGGCTATTTAGCGAATATTAAGCGTTGCATTAGTTTATGGAAAATATTGCAAAATGTATACTTTATTGTATCACTGAATGGCAATACAAAACAAAAAATAAGAATCTATTTATACCTGCCTTACAGATGCTTAATTTACCTAACGAATCTCTACTTTGACATGTCGCATGAGGTGGAGGCACCGTTGATTAATCCCAGTGGGGAGCATGTGGGCTACATACGTGTGTTGATTGAAACGCGCAATGACACATCACCTCCAAGATCATCTGAACCATCTCCCTTCTTCGGGCCAGCATCTCAAGGAGGCAAGCGCCAAGGCCAAACCAAACTGCACTTCGATGATCTTGAGTATTTTACTGTTGAGGTGAGTAATTAACCCTATCAGTGTGATATCAGCTTTGCCTTGAAACTATATGTGTTACGTGCCCCAGATGGTTAATTTTGAATACCCCAGTCCGTTTAAACACCTTAATTGTCAAGATGGTCACATTAAAAGTTGAAAAAAGTAAATACATGCGGTAGCCGAATTCAAGGTCAGACGACTTCTAAATCTAAAAAATTTGGTATATGAAAAAATTGTTTCTAGTTCAGATGACAGAAGGTTGGAAACACGAGGAAGATCAGTACCAGTGGTTGAGTATTCAGAGCTATTTCAAAATATATTTTTTCGTGGATGTTGCACATCTTAATCCACTAATCAGTCCTTTTACTCAGGCAAATGCATTCTAGTCACGATATTTGACAAATAAATCACAGTACTGAAATACTTGTTGGTAAAACATATAACTCTATTTGTTTTCTGTATGTAGGCCAACGGCGATGTCTACTCAGACGATTTTGCATTTGGCAAGTTCGAACCCAGGCGGACCTTTGATCCATTAGCAACTGTGTGCCCTACTGATTCCCCTACTGATATGAACACACCAAAAGTACGTGAAGGTAGATTCTTCGCAGCAGACAGTACGACAAGTGAGTTAATACTCCTACTTATGTATTTATAAGTAGAATGAATTGTCACTCTTCAGTGGATTGGGGAATTATTTGGTTTCATATATTTTTCAGGTGAAAGTGACGTTGTTACAGAGGAATGTAGCCGAAGACCATGGTTGAATGAGGAATATTTGCCCGATCATTTTATAATCGGTGAGACCTATTGGTTTAAAGTGACCATTTTGGGGGTACGTGGATTGCCCACCAACTATACCAGTGTATTTTGTCAATTTTCGTAAGTGGTTACACATAATATTTACAAACTTATTGTTCCTACTCTATCAAAACCACTTATTTGACACACATGTTAGATTACCCGATAAACCCGCTGAAATATACTCAACAGAACCCTCGGAAAATCCTAAAGGTAAAGAAGATTTCAACTTTTGTCAGGTTCAAAAGGTATGGAATCTAATTTAATAAACGAACCTTCAATAATTTGTATTACTTTAATGGTGTCAATTGTGCCTGAATTTTAGTTTACTGTCACAGTGACTCGCGCTTTCATTGATTGCATAATGCGTAAGCCACTTCCTTTCGAAGTATTTGGACACGTTCGACGAAGCAATGTCGCGAAACAGGCAAAAAGGGAAAACAGCCTGAATCGTGTGTGAGTTTTCTACTTTTCTTCATATTGCAAATTGAATATGCCGTCTTAAATCGTTGATAAATTAGCTTTTATCTCACGATAGCGTATATCTGGATGGGAATGACCCTACTGTTGGAATAGATTGTTGTCCAAAGAGATTCTATACATCGATAGTAAATTAATATATGCAATTCTAATGGCAATTTCAATGCCTGTTAATTAATTTAAAACTATTTAAGCTGCTTAAAAATCTGCCCAATATTTCCAGATGACCCTCGTTCTTTAGGCGCTGTTTATCATAGATCCGAATTCGGTCGGAATTTTAGTGTCCAATCTTGGACATTTAAATCCTTAAATTACCCAGTAAGTAAATACTGTAAAACCCGAATTAGAAACCAAACAAAATAAAATTCGTTGAAATAAGACTGTATTCTCAATAGCTTTTGAATTTCATTTCAGAATTATTGCTAAAGTGTTAAATTTTTGTTTTGTTGTGGTTCACTTTATTAAAATAAAAGGTGCTGACCGAATAATGAATGCTGTCGACGAAATCTAATCCGCACATTTTTTTAAGTGTATACAACTATTTGACTAGATGCCAATAAGGAAGATTAGTAATTAATAATGTAGGTAAGCATTAGAAGAAGTGACTCCCAGTTAAAGTATTTAGAGCGATTATTCAGCCAGTCCCGATATTAAGTTCTTTCATATTTTTTTTGGAAAAAGTTACTGCACTTTACGAGTGATATCTTTTGTCAAATTTAAATTTTCACATAAATTATTTGAAAGTAATTTAAACTAAAAGCAGCTGCACTATTGTTCAAATACGGATGAATGAGAAATTCCTATTCATGTGCTCATTCCTTGCGTAATTTGATTGTTATTTTGATGAAACAGTGTGGTTACTAATAGGATATTAATAATAATAATATTATTATTAATACGATATGGAATAATTTAAGCTCATCTTTTCACCCAAGATCTTGCTATCAAATTTTCATGAATGTGGCACTATTGTAGATGTGTCCCTAAGGAAATAAGTATGCTAATTTCTTGGGTTGAAGATCAAAGCATTTACTTTAAATCCACCCACCTTAAGGGGATATTAATCAATTCAGTACTAATTCCCAATCCAACTTCAAGACGCTTCATGGCACTCCTCCCCGTTAGATTAGTGAGGCCTCATGGTAATAGACTCAAATTCTGCCAGCAAATATAGTTGACCACTCCATTCAATTGCTATATTTCAATTGATTTGCCACTAACTCGTTTACATAAAATAATGAAGACAGTTATTGGGTGGGCAACTAAGTCATTGCCGTTTTTGTTGACAGATTCACTCTATACTTTCTTTTGTTTTGCTAACGTGGCCAGAGCATCTAACCTATATTTTTTTCTTACTGTATGGGCTTCTAGGTTAATTAGTAAAAATTTTTTTTGTTTAGTTCTTTAGTTTTGTTTTTATCCCAATTTAAAAATGAAAGAACAGGACGTGCACTTCCGACACATTTTATTGTATTACTTCCGAAAAGGCAAGAACGCATCGCAAGCACAAAAGAAGTTATGTGCCGTATATGGAGATGAAGCCTTAAAAGAAAGGCAGTGTCGAAATTGGTTTGAAAGATTTCGTTCCGGTGATTTTTCACTGAAAAATTCACAACGATCTGGCCGCCCAGTCGAAGTGGATGAAACCCATATCAAGGCCATCATCGATTCAAATCGTCACAGCACAACACGAGATATTGCAGAGAAGCTGCTCAATGTGTCGCATATATGCATTGAAAAAAAATGAAAAACCCTTGGTTATGTCAAGAAACTTGATTTATGGATCCCTCACCAGCAGTTAAAGGAAATTCATTTGACGCAACGGATTAGCATCTGTGATTCGCCGCTACTGAAACGCAATGAGAATGATCCATTTCTGAAGAACCTAGTTACTGGCGACGAAAAGTGGATAGTTTATAACAATGTTACTCGCAAGAGATCATGGGCGAAGCAAGATCAACCAGCCCAAACAGTATCAAAAGCAGCAGAGATTCACCAAAAAAGATTATGCTGTCAGTCTGGTGGGATCACAAAGGAATTTTGTATTTTGAACTCATGCCGCAGAACCAAAGGATAAATTCAAATGTGTATGTTGAACAACTGGAAAAACTGAAGGATGCAATTGAAGATAAGCGGCCGGCATTATCAAATCGGAAGGGTGTTGTTTTCCACACATCTTTGGTTACTAGGCAAAAATGATTGGAACTGGGTTGGGATGTTTTGTCACACCCACCATATAGCCCTGACCTTGCGCCTTCGGATTATCAATTGTTTCGTTCCATGCAAAACTCTTTAAATGGTAAAATTTTAAACAACGCGGATGATGTCGGATCACACCTAATTCAGTTTTTTAATAGCCAAGACCAGACATTTTACGAACGGGGAATTTTTACTCTGCCAGAACGATGGAAAAAGGTCATCGACAAGAACGGCCAATATCTAATTGAATAAAGTTATATTTTAAAACAGAAATTCCGAATTTGCCTTCTTATTTTAAATCGCCAATGACCTAGTTGCTAACCTAATATAATAGCCATCATTATCTAATGAGCTTTAAATTTTAGTAGGAATTATTTTACAGGAACGAAATTAAGGAAAATGAAAACGTCATCCGTTTTGGTCCCATGAAATGTCTAGTATTAGTTGGACCCATCTTAGTGTTTTAATTGATTATGATAGGATGTAAAGATGTTAATTAACGCATAAGATTTATCAAGCCGCGACAATTTCTTTTCCGCAGCCAATTGCCATTTGAATTAAATGAAAGAATTCAATGAGTGATTATAGGATTAGTACCCACTTGATTTTTTCATCCAATAGGAATTCACCGACTGGTTTCAGAATATATTGACCTTTAAGCATGTGATGAAATTATCCAACTTATTGAGTAGTATAGATTTTCTGAATAATATTTATTGTCAACTCAGCAATTAATATGATTTTCAGCTGCACGATTAATGTCTTTGTGTTAAATTTTAAGAAGACCGAATCTATCTTTGAGAAAAGGCCTACCCGCAACTCTTCTCATACCACCGCCTGTTCCCATCCGAAACTGCAATCTTACAAATTCAACGCATCTGTAAGTTTACAAGCGTTGATAAGCGAAGATTTTATTTCGATCCATAGCCTTACATTATGAAAACATTTTCATACTCTCAAATAACGACTCTCAAGCGTGTGTAATGAAACGCTAGGCAACATTTCTTTTGAGAAGGAGTGCGGCGCTTGGAGTCCCGTTGATAGGAAACTCAGATCCTGTCACTTCTTCCAACAGTCCAGTATGATTGTCCATTGCGTTAACTGAATGCAAAGCTATAGGCATCGAATTGCGGTTATTGTAGTCTCATAGATCAGTATTCTAGCTGTACCACCGCAGCGGTTCACAGACCGGCGGCACAGGTTCAAATGATTGAATTGATGTATCCCCTTGCTCCATCGACATTATTTGAACAGAATTAGGAAATTATGCATTGCCATGGTAGCTTAATTTCAGAGAGAGAGAGAGGGAGGTGTTGGTGTTGGGGTGGGGGTAGGGTAGGGTAGGGAGTGCATGGGATGACCATGAATTATTTGACATCTAATGGAGGAAAATATATCACAAAGTGTTTTCAACGCGATTTGATCTGACCTGATGGGTTTCCCTAACAGAAAGCAAGTCATTGCATGATTTATTTGAAACAGCATTCAAATGGTCAGCCGTGATGGGAACCGTCAGAAAAGCTTTTACAACATCTTCAGGCCATAAATTACTTTTATTATCGTGGCATTTTAAGGTTATGAGGTCAACAGCTGTTCAATTTGATTTATAAACCATTTAAGAGCAAAATAGATTTTGAAAATTTAAAAAAAACAACTTGGTTATGTGTGTATTCTTACAGTAAAATTGATTTGAAATAAAAGAAAAAAATGATCTAATAATTAAAATTATTATTTTTTATTTGAAGATAACTTGAATTGCTTTTTTCATAGATGTAAAGTTCTATGAATCGCTTCAATGTGTATACGATATCATGAATTGTTTTTCAATTGTTTTAGTGGCTCATTAATCTACCAAAATGACCTACTTGTATGGTTTGAAGTGCTGGAACTCAATGCGGTTGGCGAGTAAGCACAAATTTTTCATTGCAAAACAAAATTTTCTCCTACGAAAACTCTGCCATTTCCACTTACTTAAAATGATTTTGGCTAAATATTTGAATGTAATTCTATTGTATTTAAGCCAAATTTGCCACCTTTCTAGATTTCGATTCATTGGAAAGTATTCAAAATCAGTATTTTTTCTTCGGAATTAAGGCATGAGAGGTAGATAACAATGAGTATCTTAATAGCTTCATTGAGAAAAGATCCAGAGATAGATAATAGGAAAAATTCGAAGCGTGTATAAAAAGCAGGACCATGTTTTCATTAAGATGGTATTAAATGAATATGCTTATTTTTCAGTAACGCTATGACATGTGTGCTCATCCCCAAATTAGGGACTCAAACCCTCATCTGGCTTATAAATTGGGTTAGATTTTGAATGGACCTATTGTTGGGGTCCAAGGCTGGCTCGGTTATGCACATTTTGCTAGATGAAGCGTTTTAGTATAGCGCAGGTAAAAGTGAACGATGCGGTCAGGTAAGTAGATAGCTTTCCAGTAATTCAGATTTGCGGAAATAACTAGTCTTTTAAAGTACCATTGAAATTACGCGACAGTAAGAACTGTTTGATATTATCTGTGAGTATCACGACGCCATTTATAGTGCAATTCCTAACAGCGGTGGCTATGAATGTAAGAAAATTTTCAATCTCTGAAAGTACAAATTTCTTTGGCTTCCAGATCGAATATAGTCAAGCTGGTTTTCCATTATTATACACATATAGTTAAAGTTCGAAGTACTAGATGCTTATTTTTTCAATTAATTTCAATAATTTAACTATAAACCCTATATTATTTTTTTAATCATATTTTAAAAATGGATATTGCCACAACATCCTCTCCTCTTTGCAGTTGTTTAAATTCATTGCGTTTTTTTCATTTTCTTAGTAAATATGAAATAGCTACTTATTTAAGGCTTCTTTTAAGAATTATATTTCGTCATATACGGTTGCAACACCTTGGTGCTAACTGTGTAGTTATAGAAAACCAATTAAGTTGGACAAATTGATGAAATTGTTAGTGAAATTTCGGAATAAGCGCTTTAAATTCAGTCATCTTAATTCTATTTGAGATAAAAGTGCTCAAACTTCTTCCCATGCTTCAAATTGGAGATGATTGTTATAAATGACATTGGAGGAGTACAAATTGTGAAAATCTTATTGCACTTAAACAAAGTACCATTTTCCACTATTTGATCACCACGATATTTAAGAAATGTAAAATATTTGATTGAGCAAAAAATATCTGGCCATGCTATCTCAATGAATTTGTATTAGAGCAGTTAATGTGTTTTTAAATGTCAGAATACCAATTTTATCGATTGAAGGCATTGCAACCGACAATATTCAAAGAGAGTGAGAGGGAGAGATTGGTGAATGATAGACGAAATTTCATTCGTTCGCCCTTTTCTTACTAATGCAAGATACCATCTCTGACTTCATTTAGTTGATGACATTTGAAGAGGATATTAGCAGTTTGTTGACGATAAAATTGTTGATAATGCAGAAAATCATTGAAGTTCATTTTGTTGTGCATATTCCGTTAGTTCTTACAGAGGGCGGGGGAGGAGAGGGGGAGGGGGGAGGAACGTCTTTCAGGAAATTGGAGTTTGACATCCACCCCTTCAATAACATCACATGTGAATCAACAAATCTTTGAAAACTTGAAATTAAGGAATGAAACATATCTTTTTATTTGAAATTTGTGCTCTGAATTTGTACGCCATATTCTAGTTACATCCAGTAAGGATCAATTGCACACTGTGCGGTCGACATTCAATAAAATAATATTGATGAACAATGTTCTCAAGATCTCTGGTAAATTTGTGCGATGACTCATCAGGATAAGATGGTTTTCAATATCTTTAGTCACATTTGAACTTTGTAAATATTTATGAAGAACAAATAAATATAATGTAGCCTCAAGTAGTATATATATACATATATGGAAATAGCAGGACTCAAAGAAGTTAATGTGCTTCTAGATTTCCTAAACCCATAAAATGGCTCCTTCAGGCATGTGTTTATTTAATAATGACCTTCATGCAGAGCTTGATGTGGAATCTGGCTTTTCATCTCTAGTTTTACTTAAAGCTCCTATTGAATCATTTAGTAATCGACGTTAAAACGGCACGACTTAAAAAACCTCACTCTTTTTTATAGATTACTAAACTAATCAGAGTTTTAGTTATTGTTTCAAGTGGTTCAGTTTATTATTACAGAGATTTCTCTATTGTCTAAAAGGATGCTCACAGGGAAGGGGGTGGAAAGGAGTAGGTGGTGTTGATTGCTGGAGTAAAAAGGAGAGATTAACGGTCTTTTTATGTTTTCAAAATTTTTAAACACTCTCTATGAGAGGAAAATCGATAATTTTCCATTCGTATATATCCTGCTCACATCGCCATTTAGATATGCATCGGTTCCGGTTCAAAGAAGTAGTGACTCACCAGGACAGGGCGCATTTATGCTTCATCAAGGTGTTCAGAGACGCTTTGCTGTGACCATCATCCATGAAACAAATACCAACGATCCATCAGCACCTCCTGTTGAATTTGTTGATATACCGAAAGTTGTGGTTGGAAGAGCTCGTGATACGCCGGAGTTTCACCTTTCTGATTCACAGACTCGAATCCTCTCACTGTCTGTCTTCCCGATATCCTACTTGCCACCGGCAGGTGATGATAGGTGAGTGCTAAAATGACTACTTTTAGCTTTAAATTAACCGAACTTATATCCCACTTTGGGAAGTTTCTAAAAGTTTTTCGAGTGATATACATTATTGTTAATGCAAATAATATGGTAATAGTATAAACTTTTATAACCAAATTAACAGGACAATTAAACAAGAAAATATTTGAAATCATTTAAAAAATCAGAAAACTATTTATCTTTGCATTTGGGAAATTCAAACTATATAGAGGATTATTATTCTCACATTTCAGTTAACTTCTTATTATTCACTGGGGTGTCAAATTAGCATTACAATTGAATTTTGTAACTTTATATGATTGGTAACTTGTTTTTACTCACCAATTTGAAGGCAAAATAGTAATAATACTGATTAATTTTAACAATAGAAATTCTCTCTGTTTAAAACCAAGAGGAAGTCTGTTGTCCCAATTTTTTCATTGAACTTTTGATGCAGTTTTCTCCGATTTTGCAATCACAGAACATAAGAATATACTACATTTTAGATACTCTGCAGTTTCATGACATTTGGTTCAATAGAGCCTTCTCATTTTGTACTCAAATACAAATAGTCGATGAAATCACACTCTTTATACAATTTTACTTGTAATTTGTTATCAAGTATGAGAGGATTTGATGAATTTTCAGAATTCTGAACTTGATATCAACTCTCTCTCTCGTCTACCTCCATTGATGCGCACAATTTAATTTGTCTACGAGATGTAGTTGAACTGTTAATTTCAAGCCAATTGCACCATCTTCGACGTGGAGGATTCCCTAAATATTTAGTCATAATTTGCATATTTATGCCACGAATTTTATCGAAGTATGCTTTAAAAAAGACGAGCCGTAGTTCAATTAATACGAATTCTGAATACCCTTCCCCCCATCTGTTGTGCAAAGGAGGTGACTGACAGTTGTTTAACAGGCAGATTAATCGCGTGGGACAATTTTAGAAGTACGGCAGGTAGAGGAAAACAATATGCACAAACAACAAATCAATCAGACTACAGCCAATTTTCTTTGTGAGAGCAACTCTTAGGAAAGTGGAGGACTTGTCTTCCTACTTTTTCTCCCCTATCCCACTAATTTTCATCTTATTTGAATCGTTGATCTGCGTACCATTTCATTTTAGCAATCAGTATCCATGTTAAGGCTAGCTAACTTGCTAATTTTTTATCGTGAGGTGTGCGAATAATGAAAATTGTATTTCAATTTAATACGTAGAAGTGGTAAGAATCAGTTGGCAGAATAGAAATCATTTTTTGATATTTCAGCAATCAAATTTCCAAAATTTGCTTTCTATTTTCTGGCTGAATTCATGTTTGTGACAGCCTAAGATTAATGATCGATTGATTGGATCAGGGTAATTCACAACAGTTAAGATTTGTTCTTTTAATAGCCGAATATTAGTGGGGCACTTTAGTTTAAGGCAGGTTCATGATAATTTAATATTACAACCTTTTCTAGAATATTATTGGACCTGGAAAATATAGAGCTCTTGATAAAACCCATAAAAAGCAAATAAAATTAAAATCTGACGCGTTTCTGCTATGCCAAAAATACAAACTCCTGAATACCATAGAAAATTTACTTTGTTTTCTCAAAAATCTTAACAAAAATCCGGTAAGGTGCTAATATCGATAAGTATTGATTAAATAAATGTCCGAACAATAAACTCTTGACACCATGACTAAACCTTTGCTGTAATCGAGGTGAGGAATCGGGCAATTCGAATTGTGCAAAGTGAGCATACCAGTTCATAAGCGAAAATTGACTGATGTGTAGCATCTCCTGATGTCTCGAAGTTGATCTCGGACTCCCTATGTTATCTGCTATCAAAAACTTCCCATAATTGAAATAAAAATACTTATAATGGACGGAGATGTCAGTCTCAAAACTAAGGCCTTCGAATGGTACCTCTTTGATTTCAACATCTTGAAAATTTAGGCTGCCTTAAAACCTACAATTTAAAAATAATTCGATAAAGCTTTCACATTAATGTTTTTAATAGCCCTCCTCAAACTCCAAAAAAATAGTTAAACTCATATGCTCGGATTTGACTAAAAATGAATGCTATGAACACCTCCACCTGGGTGCACTTGAACTAATGTGGAACACAAAGACAGCATGGCTGAAGCAAAGAAACGCAAGTGCTCGTAAACATTCTGGATGTCAATCACGCCAGGAAGTAAATGGGATCATGAGTACAGAGAACTCTTGACCATTTGCTAGGCAAAATTATTACGACGTTATAATACCCAAAAGTGCATATAATGACTAAGATCCCTGTTCGTCAACAAACGCACACACCCCCCAAAAACGCAAACTCACAACCCAGCTGATAGCACCCGACCCATATACACCCCTAGCATAACATTTCCCGAATAAATATAGTCCACGTCACATGTCGGTTTCCCCCGATATTACTTAGGCAGGGAAGCTAATCCCGAGAGGCATTCCAAAAGTGGAGAACTACCATAGAGATTATTGAGCACAATTTAAGGCTAATAAGTGTTAAATTCCGCTATATACCTGATATTCGCCATGTTTTTCAACTGAAACGCCCATAAACCCTCTTCAATTGAAATATATATTTTCGAATTTTGAGGTCAAAAATTAGCTATAGTATTTTTCAGTTTTTTTTATTTTTGAAATTTTCTACCTCACATTTTTAAAGAACCATAGAATACATTACATTCTTAGGGGACACAAAAAAGAATAAAAACAACGATTTGATGAGTAATACTAATTTGCGTGATAGCAATTTAATTTCAAAGTAAGTCGCATTTTGAATGTGAAAAGAATAGTAAAGAAAGTTATTAATAAGTAAATAATCAATTAAAAGTGATAAGGCATTACCAACGATTTATTGCAAGAGCGTTGGTATAAAAGTTTCACTTCAAAAAGAAGCTTCATACATTAACTATTATAATTTAAGTTACTTTTGTCAATTTTGAAATTTATTAAATACTTAATATTCACTTACTTTCTTATAGTCTTTGTCTTGCGTATAAAGTCTCTGTAATAATGCGAAATGAGGAATTGACACATGATTGCTGAATTCGAGAAGTAAAATAGGAAATTTTTAATAATTGGTAATATGATTATAATAAAATTATATTTACATAGGAGCATATTGGGTTTTTATCATTAACGAATTATAATTATAATTTATTGGAATATTTATTAGCCTGTTTCATTAAATTTCCAAAGCGACAAATTGCTTACTTTTTATATGACTCCGTGTGATTTTAGCAACTGCAAAAATTACATTGTATTTCACATTAAACTATAATAAAATTGGCTGCAAGCTGTATTTGCATGCCTACCTTCATGCATTCAAATCCGCACCCAATAGTTTTTGGTGTACATTTACGGGTAGTTATTAATTTCCAATGGCAATTAATTTAGATGAACAACAAACTGTCCAATGTGTAATTCACTTATAAATAAATATATAAGGAAAAATAATCTTATGAAAGAAAGAAACTCCAAAGTAATTGATTTTATCTGCACGAAACGCCCCTAAAGAAATGTTTTGTCGTTCCTGCCACCCTCCTCCCCACCCCCTCCGTACTTCTTAGCATCTAATTAAAAGTGAAATGGTCTACTTCAAGTACGATCCGAAGTCGAAAAGCAACTTTTCTCCAACGCGAATTCAACATGGCTGCGAGTGTTTAAGGAGTTCATACTCGCTTGAAAAGCTGTTGACTTCAAGCCCTATATTTCGCCATAGCACAACTCTTTCTAACGAATTTTATTGAGCCGTATAGTAACTCAAATTATTGGTTTATTTAACATTTGAATGACCTGCGATTATGTTTAATTGATGTCTTCCTGATTTCTTCAACTTGAACGAGTTTTTTAGTGTTTGGCTTGAAGTAATGAACTACTCTGGGATATTGATGGAAATAAGTGCTCCAACAACGAATTTCTTCCATATAGATGCAGCATTAATCCGAACACACTTGGAAATGCAAACATCAGTTACTGAAATAGGAATTTTGGAGATTTAGGCAATAAAGGAGTTGTTTATTCTCATTTCGCAAAACGAATAGCAAATTCCAAAATTAAAAATAAATTTTGAATTTTTTTACTGTCCAGGACATATATACCATTTCGCGAAATTCCTTCTACTCCACATTTGGAAATTTTATTAATTCTCACATAGCGGCGTGCTTTCATGGTTAAAATTCTAAACTTTTACAATTTTTTGTAGATACACTAGGGTTAGAAAATAGCGCAAATTTTCAAAAAACCCCGCTTTTTATGTTTGTAAAAATTTGCGTCTAGCTCGATATACGTATTTATAAAGTTAAATGAAATTTGACAATTAAAACAAAATTTGACCTGGTGGAGTATAGGTAGTGAACCTTGACAGTCGTTTAGTATGTGGCAAATAGAAATTAGCTCTTCCTTTTAATCCAATTTATTGAAGTACAAAAGCGATAAAAAGTGTACTAAAAATTCAATTGATGGGCGATGCACAGATATCACTCTTGAAGCATGAAATTTTCAATAGCTTCTTTTCTTATTTATCTGTTTAATTTGAAAATTCTATAATTCAATTAATTTACTTGAGCGAAAGCTCGTGTCTATGACAAAGAGCCTTTATGTATATCTTTTACTCATTAGTAAATATAATTATTAAAATTTTTTTCCATGAAATTTTGAGCCCTAAGTGGTTGCTATTGAGGTTTCGAGAAAATATGGCCTGTTGGCAAGTGGGTAAAAAATTCACTCTAAATTTTGGTTTAGGAGAACAAAGATTCTTTTTAGGTACATTGGTAGTATAAGAAAGTGCGCACACCGATCGAGAGAAGTTTAAAGAATAGATAAAGTACATAGCTATTTGTTTGCGTTCACTAGCGAAATATATATTTTCATTTATGGCCAAGACTTGATAACTATGCTAGGTTGCATAATTTTAGTAGAACAAAACTCACTATAGTGAACTCTCGCGACATTTAATTTCCCTCTAGAACATTTTTCCGCTTCGAGGCCGCATGGGATAGTTCAATGCATGGTTGCAGTTTCCTCAACCGTGTGACCCCGAAGGGTCACAGTGTCTACATTACAATGTCTTGCTACGTGCAACTTAGCTGCTGTTTGGATCCAATTTGCATTACTAAAGATTTCTCCATGGTTATCTTCCCTCGATCATCTACTGTGGTCGTTCCTAGGTAAGATCGGAATTTTTATCGATTATTGCTTCATTTTAATTTTAACGATGATTTCATAAACAATATCACGGTTTTAAACTCGTAGTTTTGGGGAAATAATTTGCATAAAGTTTTTGGATATTTGCACTATTCTTTAACTTAGAGAAAACTTGTGCTAACATTGAGGATGACACTGATAGTTGACATTTCGGCCGTTATTGGATTTTGTAAGATTGAGCACTCCAAGTTCCCATTAATCATTATTTTTTTTGGGAACATTGATCCCGTTACAATTGTGAAAGAAGTACTTTCTCTCCAGTGAATCTTCACACACGTTTGACAGCTTTTCAACTCACTATTTCCGTTTGAATTCCTTCAAGGTGATTTATTACTTATGAAATAAAAAATCAATAATGAGAGTATGGTCTTAACAAGGACTTAACAAGGTCTTAACAGTAACATTTCTGTTTGAATTGATTTTCAATAACGCATAATCACTCTTGTGAGGAAAGTTAGGTGTGCTAAGATTTACAAATTGATCGATCAAATCATCCACGCCAATTAAATTTGAATGTATGCAAGACCTGAAGAAGAAAGAATGTTTAATCGTTCCATAAGTATAATCCAACTTTCTTTTCCAGCATAAAATTGCATCTGAATTTACGGATATTTGGCGAATTGGAAAAGGACGCGTTTGACGAAATGGCTTTGCACTTGTGAATGTGCATTTGAATTCTTCTTTTATGGCGTCTCTGTGAATGAGGTTGGGCTGAATTATTTAGAGGACACACCTTATGGGGCCATTTTGGGGTTACAAGTCTATGCTTTCTGCCTTACTAGGGCAGCAAAACTTCTAATAAATGCCAACGTGATTTATGAGCGAATACAAAATTTAGTACACACAGTTACTTACCATAGTACGAGTAATAAATATGCTAGTAACTCAATTAAAGTTAAAAATGATCTGTGTTGCAAAGGTCTTATTACGAGGGAAAAAGTGATAAAACAATTCGAGGAATTTCCTTTGGTGTCAATTAGCTCAGATTGATGAATATGTGTTGACATACTTCGTCGTGTTGTAAAAGATAGTGAGTTTACTTGCGCGTATTATTCAATTTTGATTGTGCGTCATCTTTCAAGTCTTTGAAATGTAGTATAAATTTTATGTTCCAACGATGCTGCTTGTCCGTAAGATCATCGTGTTCGACACCCATTGGAAGATACTCAATGAGAGGAAGCAATGAGTCACTCTCTCCCTCGATCGCATATGAGCCCAAGGTAGTGTTTAGAGTCATAGACATCTATTGCTTTTGTAAAATAAATGCCCTCATTGATAGACGCCAAAACTCCTGCTTTCCGTTCTGCGAGCATTTCCTTGTATTTTGTTTAAATTTACTTCAGGATTCCTGGTTGAGATCGTTCAAGATTGGGCTATTGTTATTTGCTGCAAGAAAATCTTTTTTTTTTAAATTTCATTCAACTTATTTCAGCTCTGGAGTTCTGTGTGCGTAATATCCTTCTAATTCTTATCGATATCTTAATTCTCGGATATTAAAGCTCAAATCCATTAAAAATCTGCTAATATATTGGGAACTGAATTGATATACAAAATTAGAATATATACTACAATATAAATATGAAATTTTACTCATTCATCCAGTAGCCTATAAGACGTTATAATTGAGGGCCTTTACAAAGAGTGCAGTAATATTTTTAGGTAAGAACCCTTTAGGCACTTCACGTGCTCATATTCACTCTTTGTTCCCGAATGAGTTGGCATATTTGGGTTGGCCGATCCAGTTCAATGTTACCTACACCACTTTGTGTTTCAAAATAATGGATAACAAAATTTGCAAAGATTGATTGTCATCACAATGCAGTTGGATACAACTCGTAAGATTCTGCACGAATGCTTATATCATAAAGTGATATCTACTTCTTACCTCTTGAAATGTCAATGTGCATGGATGGCCTGATGAGGGAGAAAAATCGTTTGACAAGTGGAAAAAAGGTAAAAATCACAGCGTGCAAGGTGATATGCGATGAGTAAAAAGATGCACCCAACTTGTTCTGGTGGAACCGTTTTTTTGGATTGGTATGTTAGCAATCCTTTCATCAATACTACTTTAGAAGTCATGTTAGAGTGGTTTAATGTTACCTCCTAGACAAAGTGGCATGACAACCCTTCACGAGTGAGAAGCACATCAGTAATATACAACGATGTGTCTATTGAACAGCTGGAAATGGTCGGCACGAGAAAGAGTAAAGTGCAAGCACCCAGCAATGAAAGTAGATAAAAGTGGTACAATAAGGCGGTTGACGAACTGTGCGTCCTTTGTCAGTTAATGAGCGAATGACAGGACAGAGATATGAGTAATTGTAAGGATGGGAGTGGAGGGGGGGGGCATTACTTTGAGGTAAAGAGTAAGCAAACCGACTTTTTTTTAAAATTTGAGACTAAATTGTGTTTGGTCTATTCGTGTTCCTCACCTATAACTTGATATTCTTTCAAACGTGTTTATTTTTTTCCAGACATCCTAGTCCTTGTGTGTGAATTTTCCGAACAACCTAAGAACACACGACTCAGGCCTGCTTCATGAAGTATAAAATACTACACTTAAAAAAACCGAGTAGAACGAACATAAAATCGAGTTTAAATTTAAGTTATAATTATATTTAAGCATTTAAAAGCGATTATTTAAACTAGCCTTGCTTGGCATTAATTTGTGCAAGTCTTGATGCAATCTTAACCATAATCCACCGAGACAACGCATTTCCAAAATTCAAAACATTCAGAAAACGTGACATGTTCTTGAGCCTTTAAACGTTCGAAGATTTTCAAAAGGCAATTTTTTATCTATATACTTTGCATAATTCATTCTGTTCGGATAAGATAGCATTTAAAGCATTTTAACTTGTCAAAATATTTTTAAATAGTCTTATTGAATAATAATCTATTAATAGAACCATTACTCAAACATTCTGATGATTATGTTCAAGGTTGAAAGAGGACATTTTTAATTCTCTTATAGACCAATTCGATCCTTTATTGGATCTTTGCTGAATCAAGTTGACCTTAAACATGTTACGGGAATATATGATCTTCAATTCTGGAAGATGCCAAATCAGGGTAGGCAATTTTTGTTCGAATTCAACTCAATTCTCACTTTATAATACATTTTTGTTTAGCTGAAAGACACGGCACCCCGCGGCACATGCCGACCTCAACGTATGTGCGTGGCGAAGAAAATATTCGTGGATGGAGACCACGAAGCGATTCTCTCATTTTAGAGCACCAAATTGAACTCGAGAGGCTATCATTCATTGAATCCGTGAGTGTTGGACATTCATAATATACAGAAGGCCAAGCGTAGGTTTTAAGTACATTATCGGGTGCAAAGAAGATATTACCTTCTTTAAAATTGATTGAAATCCTACAACCTGCTCCCTCCTATAAAGAAATGTATAATTCCCTGCCAATACTAAAGTATCTATTTATATTAAATGGCAAGCGATTTTATAGTTAGCCCTTTAGTTGACTTCGGGTTTCACAGAAAGGAAGAGGAACTTCAAAGTGACAAAAAGTCGAGAGGAGGGGGGGGGGGAGGAACAGAAGAGCGTTTCAAAGGTGTAAGAGAGACAAACACAAAGGTAGAAAAAAGATGAGGTGAGTACTGTGGAAGTAGTCGAATATGACATACAGTGGGGTGATGGTAGTTTAAAGTGAGAAGTCAACTGCCAGGTAATAGACTTTTTTACTGTATGAGAACACGTTGCCCAGAGTGCCCCCCACCTGGAGGTAAGTCTATCGCACAGCCCTACCCAATACTAAAGTAGAGAAGTTCGCGAAAGTTGATATATCCCACCTATTGTGGTTGACTCCTTAAAACATCACAAATTCCGTCGGCTAACTTGTGTTGATCGGGTAAAATCAAATGTCAATAGTCCACACGTTAATTAAATATATTTCCTTCTTCCTAAAAAAGTTAAAATTTGAAGATTAACCTCAAATCTAGTGTCAAGAGTAGGAGTATGCTAGTAGGCAACTGCCAAACTTATGGTTTTGTATGGTACTTAAATTGCATTTGCAAAAGCATTTTTTTATAATAGAAAATTACATTCTTCCTTTACAAATGTTGTGCTTCCATTTTTAGCGTCCTCGCGTTAATTTGAATTCATGACCCAAAAAGGCGAATTGCAAAAGTTGTTATAGCATTTTTTTTATAAATTTGCCAAATTATTGTTCAAAAGAGTTCCACCAACTAATAGTTGGTTATTTGTCATCAAAGTACCTAATTGTGATTTTTGAATGAAGAGTGATATTTAAAATGCAGTTTTAGTTTTTTTGGGATTAAAATAGTAGGAAGTTCCTAAGATTCATTAGAAAAACAATTTGGAATATACTGTAGCGGATTGACATACTAATAAGCCTCAACTTATGCTTAGCAATCTCTATGACAATTTCTTTTTGTTTGGAATGGCTCCAGGGGGTTAACTACATTACCTCGACAGTATGAAGATAACGGACACATGACATGAAATACGTTTATTCGTGCGATGGTAAGTTAGGGGTGCATATCGATCGGGTGCTGTTTGATTGTGTTTTAGGGGTGTGTGCGTTTGTTGACTGGCAGGTATCTTAGTCATTATATGCGTTTTTTGAGTATGAAAACAACGTAATGACTTTGCCTAGCAAACGGTCAACTGTCTTCTGTACTCATGATCTCTTTTGCTCCCTGGCGTGATTGCCATCGCTTCCACATGTGCATCTATTGCTTCACCCACAATACCCTTCAGGAATAAGTCGACGTGCCTGCCATGCTTCTATTGAGTCTGATGATCATAAGTTTAAAGTCTGTGAATTCTCATTTCCTAATTAAATGCATGATTCCATTTTCACGATTCATCATTATAGAACAGTCGGATATACTGTCGAATGCATACTAAAAGTAACCCGTGATTCATAAAGAATAAGGATATTAAAAAAAAACTGCCAATATTTCGCCTTGCTGAAAATATTATCATTATTAGATTCTGTCATTACTTAGTATAAACCATTTTTAGCCCGAACGATTGTTTCGATTTTTTACCTTTGCGGGTCGAATCCATGACATCAAATATAATCAGAGAAGCCTCTGATAAAGGAACACTAAAAGAAGATCGATTTCTTCAAACAATTGACTACACCAGAAGAGGAAAGGAATGAGATAAACTGGAGAAAGATTATTGAAAGCATTCATGACAAGATCAAGAAGTTGAAAGATTTTGGGCTTTTTGTTTCGTTTTATTTCACTGAGCAATCATTGTCAATCTCAATGGGACACCCAAGATGTTATTCGGTTGGTGCTCACTACAGCCCCATAATCATGGGCATTCACCACAAAACCATCAGTAAATAAAAGAGATGACACCTTTTACCTACCATATGGGAAGAGTTGAAAAGTTTCATAACGCTGCCCTGCTTCGAATAAAACTTGAATACATTTTAAAGAAAACCATTTTTGTACTTTGAGCTCGGTTTTAGGTCATCTGTGTTAACATTTCAATCGGCATTGCATTTATTTCAAAACATTTTCACTCAATTAGGTTGGCAGATATTTTACATAAAAACACCAAGTCCTCGTGCAAGCCTTTCAATTATGTACCAGCAACGTTTCAAAATACGCCACTCACTTTTTACCTCCAACTTTCCTTATGCATAATTAGTATTAGAATTGCAAAGTCGCTAGAGGATCAGCGTTCAGAATTGCACTTGACGAGCTTTCAAACTCGGCGAAGAGTTGAAAAAGTGGAACTCCATCCTTGAAACAGTTATCTCCCGGGACCGATGATAAAATGAGGCTTCTCCATTCAAGTGTAAAAAAGGCATTCAATTTAATTTGCAATTACGTCCAAATTACGGCGTACTTTTTAATGCGCAGCACAAAGGAAGTAGATAAGATGCATATGAAAATTGGAAGAATTATTGCATTTGAATATCCCATATTGTTCACCTTTACGCCGTTGCAGAATAACTTAATGCGCATTCGAGAAATAAGCATCAATAATCACATGGATTAAAGACGTTTATCAACGATATGAAATACAGCTATAGGATAATTATCGTCTATATTTAGAAACGATGTGATATATTTTTACTGATTAGCTATAAATGATAGTTAATTTATTTAACAAATCGTCATGTTTTTTGCAAAACATATAAAAATTACTGTTTTGTCATCAAACCAACTGATTTTTCCACTCAATTTATCCAGATTGGTGTCAAGTTTAATCAATCGTTAATATACTCTGACAATCTTAGGTACGACTAATAAGCTACGAAGAGACAGAGCAAAAAGAGGTCAATGCAACACGGATTAAAATGATTGATCTCATTCACATACCAGTGAATTGAGCTTCAAAGGAATTGGAATGAAGTCAAATAGCCAAAAGTTACACTTATCAGAGTACAAATCAAAACGCCTTTGACAATTGAGAAGCCTCATAGAGTATTGGAATGGGTTGCATACACAACCTTAGGGAAGTGGGAGAGAAAGCTGAATAAAATCGATAGAGTGCATGAAAGAAAATTTGACGCCAACTTACATGGGGGCATTGAAGCCAATAGCTGACACTGGATTTTGAATTCAAAACAATAGAAGATAATATGAGGAAGTTTAGTCACTACTTAAACGAATTAAAAATTGTAAAACGCTATACATTTCCCTTCTATACTCATTGGTTTCCTCAATTTGTCAAATGCGAAATGACAGCCAACCAATTGAAGGCCTGGCGGATTATTGGTATAAGTAAACACTTAAAGTGATGAGGTTAAGTGCAATAGTGCTAATTCGTTAACCCACATTTTCTTTCACTTAAAGGTTGAGAAAACAAAGCAATTCCTAGCATTGCGAGACGCCATCAAAACCAACAAGCAGGATAATTCACTGGAAAAATTGGACACAATGATTAAACATCTTCAGGGCAATCATCTGTACGATCTGAACTCACAATGCAAATGGTTACCTCCCACTTTCCAGTTGTTATCAATGTAAGTGTTTCATGAGGGCATTGGTATTTTTAACAAAGCAAAATATGTGCGCTGAATTAGTATTGCATAGAACCAAGAAAAATGATTGCTAACAATTTTGCAAACATTTTGATAGCTATCATTAGCCATTTAGCTGACTTCGGGCTTCACAGAGGGACGGTTCATCAAAGTAGCAGAAATTCGAGGGGTGGGGAACAGAAAAGCGATTCACAGATGTAAAAGAGGCAGACAGACACAAAGGTAGTGAAAAAGGTAAGATGAATACAGCGGAAGAGGTCGAATAAGAAAAGCACTCGGGCCATGGTAGTTTGAAGTCAGAAGTCAACTGCCAGTTAGTAGACTTTGTTGTCGTATGACTATACTTTGCCCAGAGTGCGCCACGTGGAGGTACCCCACGTGCACCCCATTCGGCAAATATT